AAACCCGATCCAGGCACGGGTCCGCCCCGCTGCAGTTCTTGGTCAAGTGATCCAGTGGGCCCACTCCACAAAGTTCTCCTGTCACCTTGGTAAGAACCGCACCTGCCCATTTATACAACACTTCTTCTGGTGGCCATCTCTGGCTTGAGACGTCCAGGAGTTTGTGTCTGCTTGTCCCAACTGTGCACAGAAAAAGGTGTCCAACTCCCCGCCAGCTGGTCTCCTCAGACCACTACCTGTTCCCTGGAAGCCCTGGTCACACATCGCACTGGATTTAATAACTGGACTGCCACCATCTTCAGGTAATTCTGTCATTCTCACCACTGTTGATTGCTTCTCAAATCCTGCCCACTGCCTTGGAGAATGCGAAGCTGTTGACCAACCACGTGTTCCGCCTACATGGCATCCCAAAGACATTGTGTGTGACAGGGGTCCACAGTTCTCGTTGCGGGTGTGGAAGGAATTCTGCTCGGTATTGGGAGCCCAAGTCTTTCCTCTGGATTTCACCCTCATACAAACAGACAGACTGAAAGGACCAATCAGGAGCTGGAGGCGATGCTCCGTGTGTTGTCCTCAAATCAGTCCCAGTGGGGCTCTCAACTGGCGTGGGTGGAGTATGCACACAACTCGATGCCATCCTCAGCCACGGGCCTATCAACCTCCTCTTCTTTCCATCTCTCACGAGGTTCCTTTCACCCAGCACCATGTCCGTCGCTGCTGGTGTATGTGGAGAGCCACTTGAGCAGCCATCCTCCAGACCAGGGAGCAAAACAAAACAATGGCCGACTGTTACAGGATTGCTGCTCCACCCTTCGCTCCAGCTCAGAAAGCCTGGTTATCCACTGCTAACACGGAGTCAAAGAAGCTGGCTCCTCGCTTCAATGGGCCGTTCTGCATTGACACTGTGATTAATTCTGTGACGGTTGGGTTGAAATTGCCTGCTAAGAGTCATAACGTGTTCCATATCTCCCAGCTGAAACCTGTCTGGTCGAGTCCAGCCCTGCCTGGGGCATAATCACACGCATCTGCAGCTGATCAGCCTCATCTTTGGGAGCTACTTATCAGAGTAACTGAGCTCCCATCGACGCTGCACCAAGCACTGCCACTTGTTTAATCAGCTCATTTTAACCTCTACAGTCTTTTCTTTTTACTTTAGTAAACTCTTAAAATTCAACAGACAGCTGGTGCTTAGAATTTCTGGACAGGCTGGAGTCTTCATGATCA